TAAATTACTAATATGGATCCAAAATAATGATGATTGGAATAGATCTGTATTAGGACTATTTAAAAGAGTAGAAAACTTTTCTAATCTTGCAAGTTTTCTTTCTGTTACACCTGGTGAATTATGAGATTGAAGTGATTCTCTAGTAGATAGGAGTGTGGCATTTGTCTAATTCCTGGTCCTGGACCTTGAGGATGCATATGTGAAATGACTGGATGGGAAGGATGACGAGAAGGTGATGATGCATCTAAATATACTGTATATTCAAATATAAGAAAAATTTTTGGACCTACATAAATTATTAATTTAGTATAAAATTCACATTTTANATTTATATTTTCTGTAAAAATTTTAAAGATACTTCTTACCTTTGCCCTGTGAATTCACTTGCGAGAAGAACAGGGTGAAGCAAATGAATACGACAGTCTTCATCATTTTCGAATCTTCTATCCCAACTATCGTTCTGCCAAGTATTTATACAGTATCGCTTCTGTGTTCTCATTTAAAAAATTATGTCAATGAATAGTTTTTTCAATGCGAACATAGATTATTTATAGATTATTTTATATTCAGTTCTACAATACTAATGAGTATTGTAGAACTGAATATAAAAGTTTCGCCACGTTTTGTTGACAGGTGTTTCACGTATAGAGAGACCATTCTTCTCGTATTCTCTGAATACAGGCCAATTACCAATCGCACAGATATAAATTTCTATTTTAGAGTAAATATTACGTGAAAATATTTAAATAAAATGCGTTTAGCAAATAAAATAATTTACTTAATAAACGAAACTATTAGTGGCTAAGTGGATATAACCACTGAACACTGTTAGTTGGTCGTGGATTGGTGCCTTGCCAACGGGCTGGCCGCGTTGAGTTTTCTGATGTTTGACGTTTATAACAGCTAAATAGGTTTCCAGATTCTCAAAGAAAGTCCTTCCGAGAAGTACAGTACATCCCTCGGCAGATCGCCCACATGTTACGTTATCAAACTTAAATAAAACTTAACACGCTACTAGTTAGGTATTATTTATTTGTTCATTAATATATAAAGTGATTGAATAAAAGATGTAAAATTAAATAAAGAATTCAATGCAACAAGATGCTTTATTTTGTCTCTTCCCAATATTTAATTGTATTATTTGTTCATTAATATATAAACTGATTGAATAAAAGATGTAAAATTAAATAAAGAATTCAATGCAACAAGATGCTTTATTTTGTCTCTTCCCAATTTATAATACAGAATATTCAAAACAACAAGCACTGATAGAATATTTTGTTTTTAAAATATCAAATTATGAGTTTGATGAAATTCAAATTTCCATGTGCTCTGATTGAAAGGCCCACAGGTTCCAGTCTCTATTTTCTTTATTTTATTCACACTGTGTATTTGTTTGTTAGGGTATGTCATACATTCTTAAACAGTTATGCAATTTAATAAACATGATCTCTACATTGGAAACCTCTCTATTAATGACTACAATTTTATTTCACTCTACTTTCTATTTGCTTATCATTTGAACTAACTAAAATATGCTCTTTAATAATGCTGAACTTAGATTAAGAATAAAGCAAACTGTATTTCAATGTTAAAGTTGTTTACTTCAAAAATTTTTTAATTACAATTTGATATTTCAAAATGTCTTCAGGTTGAGCATATACCATTCAAATTACAATTTTTAAAAAAGTATATTAACAGATTCCAAATGTGCCATTTGGTTTGTTCTTAATCTAAGTTTGGTGTTGTTAAAAAGCATAGTTTTATTACTACAAAAACTGCAAAATGGTTCTCACTTTTAAAGTCAAAGATGAAGTGACTCATCAAGCATATCCAGCTGCAATTTCTATTAAGTTTCCATCAGCACAATTTAATGCCTAAATGGATCTCCATTAAATACATCTTTCCACCATGTATCAGACTGACTCTTCTGAAAGTAGAATGAAAATTATTGGCTAAGCTCATCACTGAAAAAAATGTGGAACAGATGGATATAGCCAATTTACATCAATTTTGTAAAATTTATGCAAATTCTCTATATCCATCTGTTATCTAGACATCAACAAAAACCATGGGGACAAGAAAAAAGCATATCTTCTACTGGTAAGGTGGTACGTGAAAATAGTTTAATTCTGTGATGTAATTTGTGGATATTCCAGAATGTCAAAAGAAGTGTTTTTTTTTTTTTTTTTAATTTTACGGAATTTAAATGTTTCAATAGTCTATAAATTTCTTCTTCTAATGGTTGATGTGTATATAAAGGGAACTTGATCCCCTGTTCTTTGCTCATTGTGTATAACTAGAAAAGTGTCTTGAACAATATATACAACCGGAAAATTTACATTTGAATGTCATTTTTCTATAATTAGAAAAAAGAGAAACATTACACTTTTAAAATAAATTATAGCTCTATATAAAAAAGTTTTCTGAAAATAATATATCAGTAGACTATATAAATATTAAACTCGTAAAGTGTCTTACAAATATTAATCAGATGCAACATAAGATGTCTAATGTCTTGATGTAAATACTGTAAATATTATACAATTTTGTTTACGACATGAGAGATTAGGCCATTTAAAACTAGAACAGAATTATTAGTTATTTACCGCATTATCATACGTTATTATATGTTGATTTTAATCCATATTTAGAATGGAATGAAGTTTTAATATTTCTGTTAATGATGTCTCTAAAGTTCAGCGAATTCTTCGCAAAAAGAATAAATTATCAGGAAACACATCAGAGATGAGTAGTCACGTGACCGAATAGCACCGCGAATGTCACGTGACACGCTTCGTACGCGTCCACCATTCGATGTGACGCTCCGCGACGAAAACAAGCTTAAGCAATGGCAGCTTCGAACGGGTACACTCGATAAGTATTCCAAAAATTTTTTGTTCATAGCATATTTTATATCAATCATTCCAACAAATTATACGTGTTTTGGAAATATTCGAGTGAAATTAGTCTAGATTTGATTACTTTTAAGGAAGAAAACCTCACAAATAGCCATACTCCCTAAACAGCACAAGTGCCTTGTCTTAGATGTGAGTCATCAACTCCCAAGGGTAGGGTTAAACAGGAAAATTCCAGAAAGACGAGAACAAAGAAAAGAAAAAATATGGTTACCGAAAATATAATGCCAATGCCAGGATATCATACCTTTTGAGCTGAGAGCTTAGCTCCTTCAAAAAATGTATTCTGGGCACAAGAGATCGCACCGGTGCACTTGGCTCGCCAGACGAAGCCGCTAGTTCGTCTCCTCTTTTTTCTGTTTCCTTTAATTCCTCACAGCGGTAGATATACCCGAACTTCAACAGATATCCGCGTAAGGCATTCCTGGCACAGGCAGAAATAAAGGAAAACTTACCTCCACAACGAGGACAAGGCGGAATGAAATCGGTTAAGTCTGGATGTGGAACCAATCCCACCAGATGACAAAATTTCTGGGCTGCATCTTCAGTGGGAAAATAGCGATAAAATCGCAAATTGCATGCTACATACAAGTATTACGCCTGCGTTTGATTGACTCATTTATTTTGTTGAGTCGGTGCATCACACACTACTGGATTTGGTTAACATTGTTTGTCCATTAAGTTGAGCTTAACTGATAATGAGATTGGCAGCTTGTTGTTTATCATCGAAAATAACGACTTTAGCTTATCACAACACACCTTTCTTGTTGCCCAGATAGTTTTATTGAAATCTAACGTTTTCGGTCTATTCTATAGGTCATCCTCAAGCTTAACGAGAGAATTGGAACATTGGTGTTCCATTGGCAAACTTTCTGACTATAAATTTTCACGCAGTTAGTAGGCCTTCTGCATCCCTTGCAATTTATGCATGCCTTTTCGAGTTTACTCTTGTAAATTTCAATTTTTTCAGCAGTTCTTGCTAATGTTGGAGAGCACAAGGGTTTGACAATAACCGCTTCATCCCATTTTACTATCGAGCCTTGGGTCTGCGCCATCTGGGAAAGTACTATTGTGTTGGAACCTTTTCTGACGTCATAGTTATGTTCTTTAAGTCTTATCCCCAAATTTCTTGTTGTGACGCCAATACGTAATGGGATGAAGCGGTTATTGTCAAACCCTCGCTCTCCCCAACGTTAGCAAGAACCGCTGAAAAAATTGAAATTTACAAGAGCAAACTCGAAGAGATATGCATAAATTGCAAAGGACGCAGAAAGCCTACTAACGGCGTGGAGATTTATAGTCAAAAAGTTTGCCAATGAAACGCCAATGTTCCAATTCTCTCGTTAAGCCTGAGAATGGCCTATGCCCTATAGAGTAGGCTGAGAACATTAGATTTTAACAAAACTGTCGGGGCAACAAGAAAGCTGTGTTGTGATAAGCTAATTATTTGCTGAGCACGTTCTGTTTAATAATGGCTTTACTAATATCTTTATTATACTGATGGTTTGTGCTTTACTGCACAGCTTTCTGGTTAATTTATGACAAAACTTTAAAAGAAAATAAGAAAATATAAATTGTTATATTTGTTATTATTACTATGCATAAGCCTATATATTGTATGTCTTACATCGTAAACCATTTGAAGTTTTTCTCATGATTTACNTACTAACATAAAACTTACTGTACCAAATATATTAAATAGATATTTCTTTAGTAAAATTTTATACAAGATTAAAATCATATGACTAATAATTAAATAAAATTTTGCATGGGGGAAATTATTCTCTCACTTTTTCAAAAGAAATACCTCATATGAATACAAGTAAAAATTTTAAAATTACACTAAAACTGCATTATTTCGATATAAGATAATTTGAAGTATCACACAATTTGAAGTCAAGTCTATTCACCCAGCCAAGAGAATAGGAATTTGCATATATTTGTGCATATATATAGTGTGTATTCAAAATACTCGTTCAATGAAATTCAAAATTATTGTCTGGTCTGGTGACCCACAAAAATATTGTTTAATTTGAAATCTTCCATCCTATTATGTGTTTATAAGAAAGCTTCCATGCCCAAATGGCAGTTTCAGTTTCAATTTTACATTGTCAGACAACTGTTCTAGGTTATTCAGACATTGTACACATTGCCAATAAAGAGAGAATTTTTATTTTTATGGAAGAAATTGTTTGGTATTTATTTTGAACATTTTTTGCAAAAATCTATTGTTTCAATAATTTCAAAGTCCATTAAGTATTAGTGTGTATTCATGATAGAATGTGTATTTACAGCTTTAGCTGTTAATAGAGCTTGTTTTCATCAGATCACATGATTTTCCTAATCTGGAACTCAAGACAAAATTTACAGTAATTCTTATTGAAGTACAAGCTTCTGGTTTATATGTTATTTTCGTGTCTTGCTTTGAATGTAATTTGGTTATGTTTTCATTACCAAATTACATGCCAAATGTACATGCCAATGATGGTTTTTTTGAAATAGCTTAAATTACTAACTTGTAATATTAATGTATTTGTAAACAATGGATAAAATTATATAAGATAATGATATAATTTTATTTGAGAATTACAAAAAAACTTTGATTCAAAGAAAGGTTTGGATAATTTGATGATGATTATTTTTTTGGTCCCTTGAATTTCAAAATAATGAGGTTTTGTCGTGTTTTGAATAATTAATTTGCTGTAAATTAAGCTCCTTATAATACATTGGTTAGTGTTATTTTTTTTATTTTAATTAAATACAGTTTATGAGAACTTTAGTGTGTTCTAAAGTTATAAATAATCTCCACTCAATCTTATAGTTCATTCAAGCTTTTGAATAATTTTTTTATGTACAGATAAGGCTATGATATTAGCCAATATTTTTCTTCTAGCATTCCAAGCATTGATTGTCTTTTTAAATTCTTTGGAAGCTTCTGTTTAACTGACATGAATGCACAATAAGACCACACCAACCATTGTTGTAAATCATTGGGCTATAATTTGGAATAAATAATTATAAATAATAAATGAATTTGGCACTAGAGGAAGGCATTAGGCACCATCTCATACTAAAATTAATAATTATAATATTTAATTAAATAATTTAGATTAAACTGGAAGAAAAGAATCAGCTCAAAGTGGGACTCAAACCCATAACTTTTGCTAAATTATTTAATTAAATATTATAATTATTAATTTTAATATGAGATGGCACCTAACATCTTCCTCTAGTGCCAAATTCATTTATTATTTATAATTATTTATTCCAAATTATAGCCCAATGATTTACAACAGTGGTTGTGTGTTGTTGCATTGTATCGGGTTAATAGGGTTGTTTATTTATGCACAGTAAGATGCCAGCATTCATGAGTTTGAAGAGCTGAATATTCTAGTTGAGAGAAGAATAGTGCTAATTTTTATGTAAATGAATTTGAAATAATTTATATGAATAGCTAGACAACAATTTTCAATCATTTTTAACTGTTGGTATAAAGATTAATTTTGTAAAAGTCTTCCTCAGATCCTTGGCTCTGATATATATGGAAAACAAAATATAAGTTTGATATAACATTGATTTAAAATTGTTTGATTTTGTTAAATATAGTGAATAGTTTTTAAAATTTGACTAAAATAATTGATTAACATTTTGACATGCATATCTTAGACTTTGGAAGGTTTAATTAAATCTGCAAAAGCTGGCCGTGCTGTAAATGAAGAAGAAATTCCTCCACAAGTAGCCATACCTAAGAAAAAAGAACCAGGTAAAAGTGATGATATTTTTGTTTTAGTAATATAGTTATTCAGCATATGGTAGTAAAGTTAACAATAGTTTTTTTTATTTGTACAAAATGATACAAAATTATAACTTGAAGGGTTAGACACAGTGGTCAGGAAGTTATGAATTACTGTTACATGTATGTAAATGCATTTTATGCAAACAAATTGTCATATAGTGACAATTAGGATTGTCCAATAATGTGACAATTGCCCATGTCATATTATCCTAGTGTCCTATAAAATGTATGCATGTGATAAACACAGATGGTGGATCCTTGTAGTTTTTATAAGGTATAAAGTATTGTGTTCTATGGTCTTTGCCCATCTTGAATTTGCAGTTGAACCATTCCTTGGATTTTGAGGCAAAAACTTCTTGATTATATTTTTCAACATCCACAAGATAATCAAATTTTTTCCATCCAAAAAGTGTGTCATGGACTGAAAAAGGTAGTAGTCTGATGGTGCTAAGTCTGGGCTTTATGTTGGATGTGACATCAACTCCATTTCATCCAATTTTTGAATTTTTCTTTTGCTGAACATGCAACATGTAATTCTTTCTAGACTGCATATTGTAATCTCAAAACACTTACTAAAACACCTTTTCTTGCAGCCGACGCTTTATTATAACGACTTTCAAACGTTTTCGATCTTATTAAAAGACCTTTCTCAAGAAAATAAAATTAACAAAGTAACAAAATAAACGACATAATCGTAAATCGAACGCTTAGTACGAATAACTGTTTTTTAAATCTAAAATTTTAAAGATTTAAAAAACAGTTATTCGTACTAAGTGTTCGATTTACGATTATGTCGTTTATTTTGTTACTTAGTTAATTTTATTTTCTTGAGAAAGGTCTTTTAATAAGATCGAAAACGTTTGAAAGTCGTTATAATAAAGCGTCGGCTGCAAGAAAAGGTGTTTTAGTAAGTGTTTTGAGATTACAATATGCAGTCTAGAAAGAATTACATGTTGCATGTTCAGCAAAAGAAAAATTCAAAAATTGGATGAAATGGAGTTGATGTCACATCCAACATAAAGCCCAGACTTAGCACCATCAGACTACTACCTTTTTCAGTCCATGACACACTTTTTGGATGGAAAAAATTTGATTATCTTGTGGATGTTGAAAAATATAATCAAGAAGTTTTTGCCTCAAAATCCAAGGAATGGTTCAACTGCAAATTCAAGATGGGCAAAGACCATAGAACACAATACTTTATACCTTATAAAAACTACAAGGATCCACCATCTGTGTTTATCACATGCATACATTTTATAGGACACTAGGATAATATGACATGGGCAATTGTCACATTATTGGACAATCCTAATTGTCACTATATGACAATTTGTTTGCATAAAATGCATTTACATACATGTAACAGTAATTCATAACTTCCTGACCACTGTGTCTAACCCTTCAAGTTATAATTTTGTATCATTTTGTACAAATAAAAAAAACTATTGTTAACTTTACTACCATATGCTGAATAACTATATTACTAAAACAAAAATATCATCACTTNAATATATGATTATATTATATATTTATATTTGATATATATATATATATTTGATTTAGTTCCAGTAAGATCTTTTTAATTATTTTTTAATAACTAAATAAATATTTTATTGAATTATATATTGACCATTTTGATCAAATACCTTTTACCATCGTTTCTGTTAGTAGCATGATTCCACATTTATAAAAGTTTTGTTGTTTACTTACAAAAAACGGATTCAAATAATTTTTGACATTTTCATTTCAAGTAAATGTCTTACAGTTAAAAGATTTTGTAAAGACTGGAACAAGTAATAATCTGAGGGTGCCTGATCTGGCGAATATGATTGGTGTGATAACACATCCCATCTAAGCTGTAACAGTTTCTGACAAGTTACCAAACTTGTGTGAAATTTGGCATTATCATGGTAAAATACTAAACCTGTTTTGTTGATCAATTCTGGCATTTTCTGTTTGATGATATTACTCAATTTGTTTACTTGATGGCAGTACGCTTTTGAATCAATTGTTAAATTGTCTGGTAAAAGCTCAAAAAAAAAATTTCCTTAAAATCCCACCAAAGAGATCATCTCTCTTTAAGAACATGTGGAACCCATATATTTAGCTTTGAAATGAAACCAATTCGTTTCAAGTAATCATAAATGGTTCAATTTGACAAATTTAATCTCTTAGTGATTTCATGTGTTATTTAGCAGTTTGCTTCAATTGGTACCTTTATTTTGTTTTCATTGGCATCAACTGGCCATCCAGAATGTGGTGCATCTTCAATATTGAAATTTCCAGAATGAAATTTTGTAAACCAGTTTTGGCACTGTCTTTCAACACATCTTCTCCATACATGTACCACAATTTTTTTCTTGCTTGAACAGTATTTTGAGTTTTTGGTAATAAAAAAGCAAAATATGCTGAAAATGTTGCTTTCGATCTTCCATATTTGATGGGACACTGAAAAAAAAATTGTACAGAATCAAACAAAATTTTTTATAAATAAGCCTTTAAATGTCAGCTGTCAAAATATATAATGAAAATGTGGTTTAAAATGAAATTGGCTGGTAAAAATACATCTAATTCCTCTAGTAATAAAAAAACGAAATTACTTTCCAAACAACCCAATAGTATTGCACAGTTTCTTCACTGAACCTTTAATGACGACAAATATTTTTGTCCATTTTCAAGTCAAATGATAGCTTTATAGAATAACTCAGTACAACAGCTGAGATCAAAATGTAATGTACTGTACAATAGATTACAACTTATACATGCATTCTTGTATTATAATTTGAATACAAGAATGCAGGCACAAGTTGTAATCGACTGATAAGCGTTGCTAGTACAAAACCACAACAAATTTTATGTAATATTTAACTAAAGCGTGAAAATATAATGATAACAATTTATTAGGCTTGAGAATATACACATAGGGTATATAATAATTGAAATTCTGTGATGTAAATAAAATTTTAATTAGAATATCTTATTTTCAGCAAAACCAAATTTGAAAACAAACACCATTACTCCGGATAACTCACCATTAGAAAATAAATTAGGAATACAAGAAAATACAGAAAAAATTGAAAATTTTAAGGATTCAAAAGCTGTAACACCTGGTTAGTAATGCTTTAATCTAATTTTAAAGTATTTGAATTTATACTAATGTTGTTTAATCTGTTTTATAGAGGAGAATGATAAAATTAAAAATTTTGTAGACACAAAAATTCCAACAGCTGGTAAGTGAAGCTCTAATTAGATTTTGAAGTTGCTATTTAATCTTTAAAGTTAATGTCTGTATATAACAAATGTAATGTAATTTTTGTAAATATTTTATATATATATATATATATGTATAGGATTTTCCAAAAAAATGCTATTATCATAATAGTGACATAATTACAGCAAGACACTGCTTAACACTGCCTCGATTAATGCTGATTTGATATAACACGGCTGAAGCCCCCAAAAAAGCTCAAGATTTACGTTGATTCAAAATTATTGTGGCATTCATTGATTCGTATATAATATGATTATTCCCAAACATGAACCAATTGGAAAAAGGTGGCAATTTGTTGTAGCATTGTAATTTCCTTAAAATTTAGTCTATGTTTGTTTGGTGCAATTTTGCATGGATGCCATAGGCAATATTGACTTTGCTTGGCAAGAATTAACTGATAAATGCATGAATGAAGTGTGGAAGAAGTTATGGCTGAAAGTATCCAAGAATTCTCAATGAGAAGAGCCTATCACTGCATTGTTAGGTTGACCAAATTGTCAACCTAATCGATACAGCAGGACTAGGAGATGTAGACAAGCAGGATATTGAGGAGTTACTGCAGGTTTCTGGTGAGAGTTTTATCAATGACAACCTTCAAGAACTGGTAAAAGAAGGAATCCATGTAGAAGTGGAAAATAGAGATTCTGAAAATGAAGTACCCAAAGAATTTTTCTACAGATTTTCTTAGTAAAAGTTTGGTAAAGATAACCAAAATCGTTGATCAAATTGTAGCAAATGATCCAGATTTTGAAAGGAGTGCAAAAGCAAAACAAGGTATTTTGGATGTAATCTTCTGCTACCGACATTTGCTTAACAAAATAAAAAAACGACAAATGAAGCTACACAATTTTATCGCAAAAAACAAGAATTTCGAAAAAGCTAGGACCTTCATCACAAAAAATAACCTTTACATTTCTGTGAGCATATGTTTGTCTTATTTAACATATATTATTATGCAAATTAAAAGTTAAAGTAAAATCTGTTTATTTTTGGTTGCGTGTTCCTATTTACTATGTTAAAATGACCTCATTTAACGCTGTTTTGTTTAGTGCTTTGTCATCTAGGAATGCATCCCCTACGTTAAGCAGGGTCTTACTGTACAATAATTTATCTGAAAATGTTTTAACATACATTAAAACATTAGAAAACTGTCAAAATTTCACATTTGCCCATTACAATTTTTTAATGATGCATCTTATGTCACAACAGCACACATCTGACCAATACTCAAACTCCTCCTCCTCTTACTACAATATATCAGTTATCACTCCTTTCACAGCAGCCACAATTTTACAGCTCCACAGCTGTATTCTGCAGCTCCTCCAGATTATTCATGTTGCACAATGATGAGTGATTCCAACTTTCTAGGTTTTTGCCTTTCACAAAATAAAAACACCTTCTGTTTTGCAGAGTTGTCATTTTTGTTTGTCACTTCCTAGAGATAGTAGACGACAAGACATTCAAATGAAGGTAGACAAAACTCAGGCAAATAGTTTATTAATTGGTTGTGTGTTGTATACATTTCTCATAATAATTAACATAATTACAGTAATTTAAAATGGTCGCATTTAGTTTGGAAGGTCCTGTTTATAATGTAATGTATTTGGAAAAATCGTATTATAAAATTTTAGAAAGTTACTCCTTGATCAAAGTTAAGCAAAAATCTACAAAAATTTTTAATAAATTTGATCAAAGTTTTTATTTGATTATAGTCTGTGCAGCAAAAGAGTAAACATGAGTCAGTCTGACCTGAAAGGTCATATGCCAGACAAAAGGAATGGAAGGCAACATATGGGTATCCCTTTGGGAATTGAGAAATGGATCTGATCTTTTTCAGCTCTCTTGCTTTTTACATTTCTAAAATGTTTTTATACCACTTTATCAATAATAATTTTATTATTTTTACAAACTATTAATGAGTAATTAATAGTTTGTAAATCTAATGTTACTGATACATTAATTAATTACCTTGTTTCCTCCCATCCCTTTCATCTGACATAGACCCTTCCAACTCAGACTGACTTGTATTTAATCTTTTTCTGCACAGACTATACTAATTATTAAAGAATTTACATAATTTCAAAATCTTTAATAGAAACAGTTTTAAATTGCCAGAATTTTTTGGAGTTTGAATTGCATTGACTTGCATTTAATGCTAATCTTTCATTTAGATGGATCAGAATTTTTAATTAAAGATTAAATTCTAATTTTAAAATATTCTAAAACAAATTTTTATTTAATTTATTCATAGAATAAAATCAATTTAGAAATAAAAATTTGATAATTTATATAAAATATTTATTTAAGATTTAAATTTAATAAATGATGATATTATTTTAGATCCAGTCGAAAATTCTGAGGTTACACTATTAAATCAACGAAAAAATCAATACAAAGCAGCAGCATTACATGCCAAAAAAGCTGGAGATACCCAATTGGCCATAAAATATGTAAAAATTGCTAAGGTATTAATTATTTATCATCTTTATTTTTCATTAATAAAGTTAAATATTAATTTACTTAAAAATATTAGATGTGCATAAATTGTGGAAATTTACAAATACAAGTTTCCTCTACTTATGAACTGGTTAAGTCTCCAAGGTTTTGTCATAGGCTTGACTAGTGTTGTTAACATATCTGATAGTATGTACAAAAACGAATCAAATATTTTTAAGATAAATTTATTATAATTATAATAAATTTATCTTAAAAATATTTGATATAATAATAATAATAATAATAACACAAATAACTCTCCCGTGGTCACCACCTGGTCATGGTGGGAGAGCCCAGTGATTTTACTGATCCATAGGGCAATGCAGGCTGGAACACAAGCTCCTGGTAGGGATACTCATGCCAATAAGGTCTATGGGGAGAAATGATGCTGTGACCACACCCACATTCTGTGGAGATACTTATCATGGTAGTAACCAGATGAAAATGTGATACTGGCTTGGACGTCGCCTGGGTTAACAAGGTCCGCGTTCGTGGGTTAGGCAGAGGCTCACGTTCAAAAAATAGGCCTCAGTCTCCCTTGGTTACCAGTGGCGAAAGCAGTACTGGCCCAGGCATGGCTACTGCAATGCCCTCAACAGATGTGAGGAATCAACCTAGCCTTGGTGTTTCTGTAGCAATGCATCCACAGACCACAAAGGCTGGAAAACCACGCCAACGGATGAAATGGACAACAGAAATGAACAAGTTTATCATCCGTACTTACTACACCATCACAAAACTCGAAACAAACATGACAGAATACAGACAACAACTACACCATAGATTCACACAACAATATCCTCACCTCACTGTCACTGAACAAAGGGTTGTCAATCAAAAAATAACAATTATACACAACAACCTTATCCCACAAACAACACTTGAACTTATCAAACAACATGTTGCTGATCAAATACATCAACAGACAGAAACATTTAACATTAATGAAGATCACGTAACCTGTCAGGATAATCCAGCAACAAGCATTGATAATAGCACACATACAACAACTACCACTAATGATACTACAGACACTTCCTCATCCATCACTGATAACATAGACATAGAATTAGTTAATACACTCTCACTTATATTTCAGGAAACACTCACTAAATATACAGGTACAGATCCCACACAAAGACCACGAATACCGAAAATCAACACGTCAAAGGCAGTAGGAAAAACACTAGATTATGTAAACACTCACTTACTACCAAACTACATTCATTCAATTTCTACACTTACAGACATTCATACATTAGTTTATGCTGGAGCAGTCACAGTAGTGACACACCATGGACTGAAAAGACACTCACAGACAGACACACACAAAACACAATTCTATCACAAACCTGCCTGGCAGAGAAGAATAGAAACACAAATAAATGACATTAGACAGCAATTAGGCAGGCTGACACAATACACTAAAAAGAACATAACACCCAAATTAAAGAAACAACTCAAAAACATTTTCAAGAAAATCAAAACACACACACAAAACATGAACATCACAACACACACATTACAGAATACATTGATACACTAAAACAAAAACTTGCAGCCAAAGCACATAGACTCAAACGATACAAAACATGTACACTACGGAAACAACAAAATAAATTAATGACAATGAAAAACTTTTCTACAGACAAATCAGTACCAAAACAAACACTAATACACAGCACAGTGTCACACCAACAGAAGAACAACTTATTGGTCTTCTCTTTGGTCCAATGCTGTTACACACAATGCTGATGCAGGTTGGATCGAGGAGGAGAACAGAAACTTGCGTAACATACCAACTATGCCCTGTGCTGAAATAAACATACACAACATTCACTACGCTGTTAACAGAACACACAACTGGAAGATACCTGGTGTAGACAACATTCACAATTTCTAGTACAAAAAATTTACATCACTGCACCAGGAACTAGCTAAACATCTAACACATCATCATCAATCCACAAGACAAGCCAAAATTTCTTACTTTCTTAGGGCATCACCTACATGAAATCTAAAAACACCACCCCACAGACCCCACACAATACAGACCAATTACATGTCTTTCAACACACTACAAATTATTGACATCCTGTATCACAAACAAAATATACAAACATGTTGAAGAACATGACATTCTTATGGAACACAAAAAAGTTGCCATAGAAATCATGGGATGCAAAGAACAGTTACTCACAGATTCAGTCATTCTACGGCAAGCACACAAACAACACAGAAACATACACATGGCATATATAAACTACAGAAAAGCATTCAACAGTGTTCCACACAGTTGGCTGCTACATATTCTACACATGTACAAAATACATTCATCACTCATTGCATTCTTCCAAAACACTATGCAACACTGGAGAACAACACTATATCTCAGGGTTAATAACACTTCTATACAAACACACAAAATATTCATTAGGTGAGGAATTTTTCAAGGAGATTCCTTGAGTCCTCTCTGGTTCTGCCTAGCCCTGAACCCATTATCCAACATGTTAAACAACACGCATTATGGCTACAATATCAGACATGAAAAAACAACACAGTTTACACTCTCACATCTCATGTACATGGACGACATAAAACTTTATGCATCCACACAAAAACAACTTCATCAACTCCTACAAATCACACATTCATACACTAAGGACATACAAATGGAGTTTGGCCTAGACAAATGCAAAAAACTTCACATAGAAAAAGGAATCCTGAAGAAAGAAGATTTTGCACTTGGAAATGGAGACGTTATTGAATCCATGGAAGAGGGCGAGTTCTACAAGTACTTAGGATTCCAACAGGCCAAACTAACAGAACATACACAAATAAAGCAACGATTAATTAAAGAATACCAAAGTAGGTTAAACGCTATACTTAGAACACAGTTAAATGCAAAACACACAGTTAAAGCAATAAACACATATGTCATCCCAGTACTCACATACTCTTTTGGAGTTATACATTGGACTCACACAGATCTCGAGCAACTCCAAAGGAAAACAAGAACAACACTTACTAAGCATAAACAACATCATCCTAAATCCGCCACAGAAAGATTAACCCTTCCACGTAAAGAAGGCGGACGTGGCCTGATTGACATAGTTAACCTTCACTACAAACAAATACAGTCACTGCGAGAGTTTTTCTACAAGAAACAAGAAACATCACAGTTACATAAAGCAGTAACTCTAGCAGACTCAAATAACACACCATTAAACTTACACTCACAACATACAGACATGACACAACATATAAAAAGCATAGACAACATTAAGCAATCATGGGCTCAAAAGGCTCTCCATGGCAGGCATCCTTACGACCTGGCCCAGGATTTTGTTGACAAAACTGCGTCAAACAGCTGGTTAGATCGGGGATGCCTCTTTGGGGAGACGGAAGGATTCATGATTGCCATACAGGATCAGGTCATAAATACTAAAAACTACAGAAAACACATACTCAAAGATACAACACTCACAAATGACACATGCAGAAAATGTCACATCATGCCAGAAACTATACAACACATTATTTCTGGTTGCAAGCACTTGGCACAGACAGATTACTTACATAGACACAATCAAGTAGCAAATATAATACACCAAGATCTTGCAAAGAAACACAAATTGGTAGACATCCACAAACCATACTACAAGTATATTCCACAAATGGTATTGGAAAATAACACGCACAAAATGTACTACGACAGAGCCATAATCACAGATAAAACAATTTACCACAACAGACCAGACATCACACTCGTTGACAAACACAATAAAATCACATACATTATAGACATAGCCATTCCAAACACTCACGATGTACAAAACACATGCACTGAAAAAAATTAGCAACTACACAGAACTTGCCCAGGAAATAAGGCATATGTGGAGGATGGAAAGGGTGCTTATTGTACTTGTCATTCTCTCCTGTACAGGTGTGATACCACACACAACTACAGAAAAGCCTGGGAAAATTACAATTGAATAGAAATACATACATCACACTACAGAAGACCACTATATTGAATACATGCCACATTGTTAGGAAATTCCTGAATACAGACACTGGACACACTTATTTGATTTTTTTTTGGTTGTTATGCCTTGACCAAGCTATTTGCCTTCATTTATAAGCCTTTAGAACTTGCCAGATATTTGTTAACTGCTATAGTATCAAAACTTGCAGCTTTTCTGGACACTAATGTTAGATGTAACTCCAACTCAAAAATTCATAACTTAAAAAATCATTCCTTGTTTACAAAAATGATTTGCTGCTTCTTGCTTCTTCCTTAGTTTTATCCGTTGTGATTATTAGAATAATGAGAACCTATTTTATACTCAAATCATCATTTCATAAAGTCAAAAGTTTCTTCATCTTTTCTAATCATGCATTCTTTGTACATGTAATATTACCTGCCAAAACAGAAGGCATAGCTTGATGAGAGTATTTAATTTTTTTCTACATTGTTCGTGATTGTTATAGTTGTTGAAGCTGCAAGGTTTGGAGCTCTGCATACTGCTCTCCAGCCTTTGTGCAATAAATAATCATTGTCTTTTCTCAGTTGTAATCATTACACACAAGTTTTTACTGTTTTCAGCTCTAGATTTGAATGCATTTTTTGGTCCAATTAATTAATTAGTTATTCAAAATAACAAGAAAACAACTTGTAGTATGTATTTTACTATGTTAAACAGTGTCCTTAAAACTTGATGTTTTAGTCGCAACCGATCAGCCAATTTCTACGATAAACACGGTTTTCCCAGACTTGTGCCTGCAACATTTTGCATACGGGAGTAATTTTGAAACAATTATTATCAAACTGGTATAAATCAAGGGCAACCTGTAATTGTAATTAAGATTGTGTACTATCTGAAAACCCTGTATTAATAATTTACATTATATCATTAATATTTGTAATATACAGATGAGAATAAATAATTTTAATCATAGAAACTAATGTTTTTTAAAATTACATCACAACGAATGATACTTTACAGTAATTTTTTGTAAATAATATACTTAGAATTCATGAAGATTTTGTAATAAATAATTTAATGTAAAATGTATGTATTAAATACAAAACTCAACTTAAACATCTGCTAATTTAAGTTTTTCTTTTTAAATTCAAATAATTTATAATTTTGAACTGTCAAATATTCACATGCAAAATAAACAGTTAATGCTATTAAACAAATAATCTTTTGGTAAATAAAATGGGTTGCACATACATTTTATGTATTAAAGCAGTGGTTCCACTTTTCTGAGGCCATTCATGTACTTCTCATTACATGGAGCATTATCATCTTCATATTTGAAAATTGATGAGCAATTCTCTACTTACTATTCTCATGAAACAACAAAGCAATAGTCTTTATTGTATCAAATAAAATAGTAAGCTGAAATTGTCTGCAAATAAAGTAATATTTCAGATATGTTGAACACTCAGGAGCAAGTTTATGGTACATAGATTGAGAACCACTGTATCAGAGTTTATACATGATCAAATTAAAAGTTTACCTGTGAGGATTAGATTTGGTGGATTGACTTCCAACTCAGTGATTTGGAAGTCAATTGTATTTGACCGACTCATTATGCCCTATTGAATTATTTATTTAGAGTTTAAAATGTTATCTGTCAAGTCTGTAGTAAAATGTTAAAATATATTTCTTGGGATGTGTAGCAGGAAAAAACCAAACACAGCCTAGCATTCATAAGTAAACTTTTCATTTGATCACTTGATATTGCAGGCATTAATTTTTATTAACTATTAAATTAATTAGTCTGATTAATTAATTATGTTAATTAATTAATGTTTCGTATAAAAGCTTATTGAATTTTTGGATTCTAAACAGATTTTTCTCTCCTATTTCAGCAATTCGATAATGTAATAACGGCTTTAGAGAGCGGACAACCGGTTGATTTAAGAAATATGCCACCGCCACCACCAGGATATCAAGGTGTGCCTAGATGATGTATATTTAAATTTAAAATGAAATTAAATTTCAATCCTTATTAAATATTTTATACCAGAGAGTTAATAGTTTCCAACTATTAACTCTCTGGTATATTTCTCTTTATATTAGAATTAAGTTTTTCTGTCTGTAAATTATGAAATGTCTGAACTTTTGAACTATTTAATTTCATTTAATTCAGTGTTTATTTGAAATTTACAGACAATAATTTTACAGAATTGCATACAAATTTACAAAGAATAATTTCATATTCATTTTATTATTGTTCCTACAACAATGGATTTCAAACTTCTGTTTATATTTATTTATTTTTATATTTGTCTTTCTTAAGTAATACTTTTTTAATTTTATAAGTTTTGACAAAATTTAGCATTATTTTACTAATTTTTTTCCAAATTCATTCATTAATTAATGCTATTAAGTAACAGTTTTTTCTGCATTAAAATCAAAATTGAGATAAAACTTCCAGCTTTAATTCTGTCTTTTATTTAGTATAAAAATTATACATTTATCCAAAACTTAATGCTTTTTATACCAATAAATTGAAGTAACTCTCACCAAAATCCATTTTATTTATTGTTAAACAAAATATAAATTTAATTATTTTATGGATAGGTACAAAAAATTACTTTATTTTTAGCAAGTAATGTCTTATAAATATGTAGAAGTTTATACACAAAGGTAGCAAGGAATTTTTGATGATTATTTTCACACAATTAATACCTTCTATATAATTTAAAATCAATTGTTACTTTGTTGCATAATAATAATTTTGAATAAATTTGTTATTTATAATGCTCAAAGTTAAACTTTACATTATTAATTATTATTTAGATAATATTTAAAGGTTTTTAAATCTCAAAATGTGAAACAAGGTTGTATATAAAAATAATACACAATCTGATTATCAAAAATACTGTAAATAACAGTTCAATGACGTACAAACAAATATTTATCTGTCTCTTGAATAATGTAATATTTGAGATTTATTTTAACTATTAATAATAATAAGATTTTATTGTATATTTAAAAAAATTTAAGAGTAGGATGATGATCCTAAATACAAATGATGGGAAAAAGTTTCATATGTATTTTACTAAAAGATTGTCTGTTTGTTTGCTTGTTGAAATATTATAATAAGCTAAATATTAAACTAATTGTATTCTAATACATTAAATATTTTCTAAGATAATTTTTTAATATTTTTGAATTTTAGAAAATAAAGCACCTATAGCAAGGAGTGTCGAACCGCCTCAAAACGTTCCTCAAGTCAACGAAAACCTTCAGAATTTAGCTATGCAAATGGCTGAAGGTAATAAATCTAAACTTGTTATTAAAAATAAAATTATAGCAATATAAAAAGAAAGTTAATTACTGTATCAATATTGAATACTGAATTATTGATATTCTGCTTAGAATAAAAGAAAACATAACAAATCAAACATTATGAAAATTATATAAAAAAAATAGAGAGGGAAAAGGGTTTTAACCTTGTTTTAGGACTAGTTCTCTAGTTAGCCTGAAAAGTTACAATGGCAATTTATCTACCTTATGTATGTAGAGAAAAAAGTTAGAGATTATACATCTATAGTTATTTTTAGTGCTGTTATTGAATATAAAATCTAATTTATACTTTGAGATTGAGCAGGGTTTTACATTCCTAGACATAATGATATGCAGGTTCAAAATAGTTACTATTTAGTTGACTTTTATATATTAGAGAATAAAAAAGATTGTTGTTAATAGCTGTTGAGTATTTACAGTATTTAATTTAAGTTTAATAAGTAACCTTTTAACTGATAATGAAACAAAATACACTGATGAACTGTAAAATAAACTTCAGTATTTGCTTTACTGATAGAAAATATGAACTAACATTTTTATGCAATATTTTTAACTGTTCTATAGTAAGAGGTTTGTAATATATTGGTCCTGGGTTATGGTGTCTGAATGATTGCCATGCAAAGGATAAACAAGAGACTGTAATCCAGGGTCAATATAATTAAATATTAAGTTAAAATTTTTCTTGAACTGCACAAATTTTAAGTTTAAAATGCATTCAAAAAATTAGGTATTTCGGACATTTAAAACAAATTTCTTTGCATGTTTTTGTTTGGAAACTTAGTACCTAAAGAAGATCCAGTGCAGTGATTGAAAACATTAGTTTGTATTTTCCGTCAGTAAAACACATACTGAAGTTTATTTTATGGTTCATTGGTGTATTTTATTTTGTTTACACGTACTCCAGTCTATACAAATTTTATGAAGAGAGCTTTTAACTGATAAATTAATTGATATTGATATCTTTATATAAGGAATTAGAAAAGATTTTCGGTGTTTGATTTGTTTAGAGCTTCTTGATCTCTCAATATGAAGTTTGAAAAGGCTGACTCCATTGAGTGCTTTTATTTACATTGTAATTCTGTTTGCTCGAACTTTATGTGGCAGGATGATGGTCAGTTATTTTGTTAGTAGACAAATTATTTAGAATGGCAAGATGACATGGGGCCAGTGAACTTATTGTAGAGCTTACAATATTCTTGCTACTGTGGGAGATCCTGGATTTAAGTCTACATTGGAACCTCGAGGGTGGTCTAATGTCTTTGTCTTCACTAGAATGTACAATTATTTTTCATCTTTAACTATAAAATGTAACTTTTTCTTATTAATATGCTAACTTTTGTTCCTCACAACTAAGCCAACTTTGTTATAGATCAAAACATTCTCATAACAGACAAAATTATATACTATCTGTAATATAATAGTCTTTGTGTTAACAGATCGTTGGATTTTATGAAAATCACTTGACTTGAAAGAATATAACAAAACCAATTTTTATGTCGTTTATACATACTTTAGTTTTAATTTATTTTCATTGGATAAGTTTTCACTTTAATATATGATACAGATCAGTGGTTTTAATGTAATTTTTTTATTCTTAAGGGCCAGTTATAAGTTCTTCCTTATCTGTATAAAGTCAGCATCAGTTACTGCAGTGACTTGTACATATTGTCATTATTTTTGAGTAGTATACTTTAATCAAGATGAAATAATTGTGCTTGTTATTTATATTTGTTATATTTTATAATAAGGTTCATTTTTAAAAATTCCAATTGTTGAATGTATAATTATATAAGAGATTTTTTATCAAGGAAAAATTCAGTATTTGAATATTTTAATTAATCTTTGACTTTCAAGTTGAATCAGTGTTGTTCTGATTTATTTTTACCTAAATATTTAAGGTATATATTCAAATTTTGATTAATGATGTCATTCCATTTTTAACTTTCTCTGCCCTATGGGTACTAAGTGAATTTCTATTGTACTCATTGTGGGTTTGGCCGGGCTTGCAATGGAAGGGGTTGGGTCATGAGAGATGGGCTCAACTTGTGAAAAATTTGAGGAGTTGCTTACCCAGATTTGATTACGACAGACTCCAGGACCACCTCGGTTATCCTGCCATCAAATAAGGATGCTTGTTTATGTTGACAAAATGCGAAAATTCATATATATAAATACTGAATTAGAATTTACTGTTTTTGTAGATTCTAATTTAATTTAAATTGTCAGTTTTGATTAATTATTTGGCATTAAAATCAATCAAAAAGACTATTATCAAATTAATTCTGTGCCACCTAGATATTCCATATTTGGTTATATATATATATAAATTTTTGTAATCTATAACATTCATTTAAATTTATGTAACATAAGTATTTGTTAACATTATGTTATTTAATTAAATATTTCAAAACTAATGGCAGTTGTTATACTTTCAAGAACCAGTTGACCCTAGTTTGTTCGGAGCACCTCCTCCTCCCAAAACTGTGATGGAAGCTCTGAATCAGCGTCTGGAGAAATTTCGTAGTACTTTGGAAACCGCAAAGTCCGAAGGAAACAACAGTAAAGTCCGTCGTATGGGAAGGATCGTTAAGGTGAGATTCTTTTAATTATTGAATTAATATTGCTATCTGAATTTATCTCGTATAATAATGAGATATTTAATAGAAAATATAACTTTAAAAATGAAGGCAAAATCCAACAAAATAATCATTTTTTTTTAAATTCACTTCTGTATTCTGGAATTGATGATGACGACCTTCTTTGTAGAATACTTAATCATTGGAAAAATTTAAAATTTCCTTAAAAACATGAAAAGTATTTTTTTAAAAGGCTAAAAACTTTCTAAAACTGTAACCGAAACAAGTGGGTGTCTTCATTCTTCCATCCATATGGTACCAGGACTATCACCAGAGCTTTATCTACCAGGAGAAGCACCATTAGTACATAGATTTCTAAGTTGATCCCTGGTGGGGGAATTCTTGCAGAGAATATTTTTTTAAATGAATAAAATTCACAGAATGACAGTTTTAAGAAGGCATAATTGTATTCCAAAACATTTTCTTATTCATTTCTGTGAATAGGAAAGGGGTGACCGTTTTTTTTTGGAATTTGCCATCGTTTTTTTTTTATTACTATTAAAACTGCCTTAGTGCATATGTTATGAATTTTAGAAAATANAAACAAGAAAAAGTTATACTTCAGAAGTTAATTTAGTATCAAAAACGTAAAATATTTGAGTAGCGCAAGACGTAGCCAAAGATTGCAGCGCCACAGCACTAGCGAAAATTTAAATTTGCCAACTGGAATTCTTTCGGATAACCGACTTTCGGATAAACGACGCTCTACTGTAATATATTTTCAGCCAGTGGTGTAGCGTAGTGGGGCGGCACTTTTTAGGGGGCGGCAAAATTTCACAATAAATAATAATAATATCTTGTAAAAATTTGAACCACGGAGAACGGATTTCCGTCGCACCTACGATTAGGACCGATTGAAATGAGCACGGAATTTTTCATTACTTATTCTGTGACGAAACTGAATTTTAGTTTTTTTAAATTGAGATACCTAAATAAGGGGACGGCAAAATTTTCCTTTGCTCCGGGCGGCTGACACCCACGCTACGCCACTGTTTCAGCGGCGTTTATTAATCTTAAAATGAGTCCAGGGTCTTCCACTAAGTCTTACTCTATTCAATGTTTACCTGAGAGACACTTATTTTTTCTATCATTACAATGGACAGACGTTCATCTAATAATAAATCTAAACTTATGAATTTACTTTATACGAATGATTTAATCCTGTCCGATTCAACAAAAGTGAGCTTAGAAAGGAAAAGTAATGAGCCTTTTCAATAGTGATCTAATAATAATTGGGCTTAAATTTTCAAATTGCGGATTTACAAATTCCCACTGTTATAAATTACACATAGAACACGCAAAACTCGAGAAAATAATAGAAAATTCGAATCAGTTAGTTACTTTCAGAATCTGATCCATCAGTTTCATACATTGTATTTGCATCGTATTTCCATACACAATGTCGTTCTATTTTCTCCATGGTCAGTTGTTCAGCGTAGCATTTAAATACCAATATACGTATATATATATAATTAAACAAAACTACACATTGCACATGAATGGTGTTTGTATGTGGTAGTAGCCCCAAGTCTCCATTAGTGCACTATGGTGGTTGCGTCTCAATAGCTATAAGGGTGCGGGAGATATGGGGGCTTAAAGTGGTTGACTTCGAAGATTTTCTATTTCGATTTTAAAAATGTTCGAACCATTTTAAATTCGAATTGGTTCGATTATAGAATGATTGTAAACGTTCCAGAAAATTGATCAAATTGAAAATGGTTCGTTTGACTGGACATAAAAATTCTCTAATTAGTCTGGAAACTGGGAACCTAATTCTTGCATTCTGTGAAAACGGGTAAGATTGGCTATAACGTAAAATCTTAATCTTCACTATCGTTACTTTTTGCCCAGCAAAGCGGGTCCTTGCAGCTAGATTCTAGATTACTTAGAAAATTAGTCTTTTATATATAAAAAACTATATTACATACAAATAAAAACCCAGTGAAGCAGGTCCTTGCAGCTAGTAATTACTAAATCTAATGATATGATGCCTAATGGATCCCTCTAGTGACAAATTAAATACTAATGAACAATATTTTTTATTGTGATCTTGTCACAATGCCAGGCTGCAATTTTGAGTGCTCTCCATCTCGAATTAGTAGTGACTTTCCCCTGTACATCATACTTTTCCTTTAACAAGAGTTGTGTCGGTCATCTATCTAACACCTGGGGGAAACTTTTTTAATTGAAATAACATGACTTCCAGTTTGCATTGGAAGTTCATATATAGTTAATTAAGTCCTCCTGCTCCTAGGTTTCCCTATCTGGTCTCTTCTTTCCTTTAACTCCATTCTTGAGATTAAGGAAAGACAGACAGACAGATGACAGTGGGAATTTGTAGGTTTACAATTTTTTCAAATTGCAGTCTAGTTAATTTAAAATAATTGTGATATAATAGCCTGATATAATTCAGTAATTGTTGGCATATTATATTATTTAAAATCATTTTATCAAGAACAAAAACAGTGTTAAGTGGCATTAATGAGAAGAAGTTTGATTGAAGAGATTTATATTCTATTTGATATTACAAATTTTAAAAAAGATATTTTGTTGGTTATATTAAATTCAGTTCTAATGGCTGAGATTCGACAAACCTGAATTTAAAAGAATTGATTGCAGAACCACTCGAGAAACAAAAATTGAAATTACTTTTTAACATTTTACTTAGTAATTTGTTATGTAAATCAATGGACATAATTGTAAATACTTTAATATAATTAAATTTATTAATTATTGAATTTTGGTTAAAGGTTTTTGTATGCCCTCTTTTTTTTTAATTATTTATAGAAATTTTGCAAAGGACCTTTCTAATAAAGGGAAGAATTGTTTTTTCCATTAATTATAGGCAAAGAAAATTAATAAAACTAAAACATTAAGCTGTAATTTTTAATCCTGTTTCCAAAAGAAACTATTGTTCTTAGTAAAAATGAGTGACTGAACGTCCAAGGCAGTTACAATGTTGGCCTGTCACTCCGGGGATTCGAGACCAAATTCAGACATTCGAAAACTTCAGGGAATTTTTTGCGGGTGGTCCATTCCCAGACATGTTGGACTCTGTCCCCGGTTGTCCGGCCAACTGCAACAGGTACGATAAAAAAACCCTCTTAGTGTCTACAGCAGCACAGAGTCAAAAATAATAAATCTTCTGTTCTATTTCAAAAAAATATAGAAGACTTTTAAATTAAATTAATTTTTATTCATTTAATGCTAATGGTTAAGTATATGATGTGATATTAAAACTGCTTATCTTATTATTAAATATTGAAATTTTAGAGTAGATTTAATTCTTTATATAGGCATAAATTATTGCAGAACAATTAACAAAATCATGTTTTAATTTTTATAATTTAATATAATAAAATGTGACATGTAAGTAAGATATTTAAAAATGTTATTTCTGCCCATTTGATTATTCATGTAACGCAATACACTCTTTTTGATTCAATTACATCTTTGTATTTGTTCAGTCTTTTTGATAGTTGTACTCCAGTTTAAAAAGTTTGAATATATACCTTTAGAATATAATTCAACTAAACCAATAAATCAATCTGATAAAATTAATGACTTTATTAAAAGAAATTTTGACCTTTGACCTTATGAGCTTTCCTAAAAATTTAATTTAATACATCAATAAAAAAGTTTCTCACTGTATAATTGTATGAGAACTTTGCAAAGTTTCCCATAAGTGTATTCAGAACAATAATGCAATTGTTTTGCATTTGTGTAGATTAATAATTTGTTTTTTAATCAAAGCAATACGAAGATGCAATTAAACAATATAAAGCTGGTAAACCTGTAGATTTTGAAGAACTAGCAACACCACCAGGTAATTTGATATAATTAATTTTTATTATAAATTAAATTTAGATTATTTTAATATTATTTTGATTTTTATCAAACGTTATTTTACATCACTTGTTAGTTAACAATGATAAATTTATTACTCTGTTCACAACATAAAATACTTTATGGAAATATCTTCCTAGTTTAGATGAGATCAAACCTTTTCTAGAAATTTTTCTCTCTTGCACCCTCATTTGGTAGTAAAACAAGTTTTATTAATTCTTTGTGTGTTTAATCTCAGAAATAATCCAGAAAATTTATGGAGTTTTGGGAAATCTTTCTTATGTCAAGTATTTTAATATGTAACTTGGCATTTTATTATATTATGGACTTGACAGATAGAGATTACTTACAAAATAGCGACAAATTGAACTTAAAAGAAATTCCAGGATAATCTATTGTAAATTCTAACATTTTCGATCTTCAAAGATCTTCGTCGGAATTCTTAGAGATTACTTCATTTTACTAATTATGGTAGGCAAATACTATAAAATTTAAATGAATATAATAGATTTGTATGTGTGGGCAATGGCTAACTCTTGCCAAACACATCTGTTTCCGTCAAAGTTAAGCAATAAGGGACCCAAACAATACTCTAATAAGAGAGACAGAACAGTCATAATATGACATTCAATTGGCTGTTACCATGATGCAATACTATCTGTGTACTCACATGGAATTTGGGTGGACTCTATTCTGATGTGGGACAAGATACTAAAAAGAACAACAATTACATTTGTAACAAAATTGCTTATTTTTTTTTAATAACATGAAAAGTATACAGGAAAATTTCACAAAAAATTAATAAAGACCATTAGTTAAATATAGAAAAATTAGATATTAAAAAACAGTAAAAATTTTAATTATATTTAAATTACATTATTTAGGTTTTGGACCGATTCCCACTGAAGGAGCTCAAAAAGAGGCCACTTCTGTTGCTCCTAGCAGAAATGCAGAGCCGTCGCCAGCTGCACGTAAACCCCAAGCTCCTCCGAGGAGACCTGCTCCGGCCATTCCAAATAGATCTCCAAGCGATAAGGCTAACAGTGCCATAAATACAGGAAGGAATCCCAAATTAAGTATTAAACAAAACTTGTGTTTAATTTTACAAAGATGTCGTTTTAAAAAATTTTCTTGTCTTTAATATAATTTTCTGTTTAGGTGCTCGAAGTACTTCATTTGTGCTTGATAAGCAGTTAAATTTCTTACTTGAGCGACAACGCCTGTTTAAAAAAGCTGCTTTGGAGTCTAAAAATAAAGGCGATATTCAACAAGCTAAGGAATATTTGCGGATGAGCAAGGTATTTAAATTAAATTTAATTTACAGAATACACAATGTTTTAGAATTAGTAAATTTAATTAAAATGTGTTCATACAATTGAATGTGTAAAATTAATAACACAAAATAGACTTAATTTCCCATTAATATTTGAAACCATTCATCTATGCCAGTGTTCCGCAACTGGTGTGCCATCACATGTTGAAAGGTGTGACGTAAACTTTTACATATTCTGTTAATTTCAAGTTTTATTTATGTATTTTTATCACAGTTGTTCTGTTTCTTATGCTTGTATTTCATTCTCTGCTGCAGCATTGATAAAATAAGATGATGCTTGTTTATTCTTTATTACAAGCCACGCATTTTTATATATTCTAAGAAATTATATGTAAAATAAATGTGCTCGCAGGTGTTGATTCTGTTTAATAACAATAATAATAGGTTAGTAACATTACATAATTCTATTAATAGTATCATATCATACATTTTTGAGGGGAATAACATTTTGGTGTGCTGTGTTGAGTCATGGGTGTACCACAAGTAGAAAAAGGTTGTGGAACACTGATCTATGCAACTTTTATTGACTGCTGTAGTTGTGATATAACTACATCATTCAATAATATAATCAAAATATGTCAGTATGTTTGTATATTTTATGTAGTATTTTATGAGTAAATACATTATTACATGAAATATAAATGATTATCTTTTATCCATTGACGATTATTGTAAAATTGTTCAAATGATCATTATTCTAACTCGTCCTTATAATTATCATGTAGAAATCTTTGTTGTTGTGGAAAATTTAGAGTAATTTTTAAGTAATTCTATTAAATAATATGAAAAACATTTGTTTTTCATACTTTTTTACTTTTATAAAATTTTAATAATTTTTAAGATAATTAATGATAAAACTATCGGCTGATGAAAAGTTAGCATGATGTAGGCTTGGCAATGCTGTAATCATGCACTGCTGATTCATTTAGTTAGTTTTAAATGGTATTTCTTGGATTCATAGTAAACAAATATTCACAATTTAAGTGTTTTTTATGACATAGCAAGCATTATTCACAGCTGGTTCACAGCATCACCAAGTCTAACTCTCACAACCAGACTTTTTAATTTGGTTGGCTGGTAAGTATTTTTATAAACAAATTTATATTTTTTCACTTTAAACAAAGTATAATCTACTTCAAAACTTTACAAACCAAATAATTTGAATAATCAAAATATTGTGAAAATCATTGATTCAATAAAATTTATTATTCATTAAATATCTTTGTCATATTTTAGTTTAATTTTAATGAGAATTCTAATTATAAACATTTTTATTGAAATATTTTAGGGTATAGAACCAATGATAGAAGCGACACGAAACGGCTTACCGATCGATGCTACGTCCGTAAGTTTTATTGATTGAAATTATTGTTTATTAATTGATATGAAAATCTTAATAGTAGAGGAATTTTGATATAAAATAATTCAGTTCTTAACAGATTTATACCATGTGTATCAATTAAACACCAATGAGATCAATGAAATGAGACCATAAATTAAATTCTTTCTCATATTTGACAAGCAATACAATTGAAAAAATACAACAATTAAAGATAATTTAAATTACTGTTTGTTCTTTTTAATCCGAGAATGTCACATTTATTGTTATCAATGTTTAAAAAATTCTAATTCATGACTCTTGTCTGTTGGTTGTAAGTCATGATTTAGGCATGGATTACACTTTGAGAATGTACATAACTTGCCTTAATTTGTGCAAATCTTTATTTTATAGATATATGTCAAAATTTAGAAAGGTATGCAATAGTCACCAGTGTAACAATATTTGGTTCATTTTAAGCAGATAAAATTAATTAATAAGAAGTAATTATTTTCATAAAAACTTCAATTATTAAGTTACCCACACACAAAATAAAAACAAGTCATTCATGTATTAAACAACTTGTGTTATTCATTACAGTTTGATTTGCTCAGATTTCTTCAGTTGAAAGTCAGTTTTAGTGTATGTTATAAGAGTTGCATAATAATAATAATTATGAAAGTACATTACTGCAAATTTGTGCAAAATAAGATAGATGTTGATCCATTATAATTGAAAAAATAAACAAACTGCTAATTTAGGGAAAGCAAAACATTAAATAAGAAACATTTTTGGCATCTTAACTTGCAAACGTATTGAAAATGAAATTGTTTTGATCAAGAAATTGCCATTTAAACAATTAATTAAATGTCTTTTAGGATGTTTATTTTCTTAAAGATGACATTTTTGTACAGATAACCAAGAATTGATAATTCAAGCCACACTAGGTTATTTCTTATCATTGAAGTTACGTAGAAACCAAATTTACAAATCAAGAATGTCTTAAATCTACTTGAAGACAATGTAAATTTTAAAATTAAGATAATTGGCTTAAATATGTTCTATAAAAATTAATATATTGACAATTTGTAATGATGTAAAATATTTGTTAGATGAATTAATGGATTTGATTTCATGACATTATTTCTTTTTGTGATTCAGAATTTTTAAACAAAAGAATTAAACATTAATGAGAATTCTCTGAATGACTGAAAAAAATGTTCTGATCCCTAAACAGAACTGTTTGATTCTTAAATTGTAACAGAAACATATTTAAACATAGCTAAAGTAGTAATGAAAGCGAGTAATAGTTCAACTTATAAAATTTGTAGTAAGGATTTTCACTTATTGCAGCACTGTCTTTGTGCCAGTTGTGAGATTAGCCGGGGGTACAACTCCGCTAAGGATCGTTAGTACCACTTAATCGGCACTATTCCGCGAGAATAGTTCTCCGAGTTTCGGATCTCTAGATCCGATCATAAAAGTTTATATAGGAGAGCGTAAATAAAAAATGATCTGAACGGCGAAGTTCCGATTCCTGTCAGGTTCCCGACACCAGTTAATCAATCTTATTATACGCGGATTAACACGCGTATGAGATCGGATTCGGAATCAATTGAAGAGACATTAGGTATATTTAACAAAAGTAAATTTAATGATTCTAAAACAAAATGAATACAAATAATCGATAACAACAATTAAGCGACAAGATAGAGGCTACGACTTATTCTATGCTAATGTGCGATCGAGAGAGAGAGCTCACAAGATCTTTCCAAAACATACGACCTGTTTAGTTGTCGTCTTCTTCCCTGTAGGTAAGGGACACCTTGTAGATAGAGTTCATATTACTTTCGTACGGGAGATCAATACGTGCACAAAATATAAAGGTATCACTTCTACGTGTAGACTCGGGACTTAGTCTATGGGACTCCGTTATGGGCGTTGGTCATCAGGAGGAAAACTGCGTGGAGTTTGACGCTTCGGATCTGTCGAAGAACTCCCCGAATTTGGACTAATTTCCCCTTATATCTCCTGAATTTCAACCAATCATCGGCCAGTAACTCTTTCGTGAGAACGGACGAAAGGGGGATGAATGAGGGGTAACCATTTCCCATCTGAGCGAGATTACTAACCCGATAAGGGAAAGTCAGAGGATGTTCTCTTCTGTGAAAGGAAGTAGCTTCTGTTATCTGGTTTTTCCCACATCCAAAACACTAGGTTTTCACAAAAACTAAGTAATATTTTGTGTCGATATTTTACCATTATTAATAAAAATTCATAAATTAGACCCAGGGGCCTTTCGGGTCTCACACAGTCGTGAAAACTACAAATTGGAATTAACGCGTTTTAAATTGCCATTTTAGGAGTACAGTAGAGCATCGATTATCCGACTCCCGATCAATTGTCACATCGGTTAACTGACCGTGTTCTAGTCGGCAAATTCAAATGTCCACTAGTGATATGGCGCTACAATATTTGGCTAGTTTAATATTATTTTTGTTAAATTTTTGGTGTTTTAGTTGGCAAAACTGGCTCGACCATGAAAGGGATGCCAGTATTTAAACGAGGCTTAATTTTCTAATTGTGAGTGGTTGTTTGTTTTGTGAGCAATAAAATAATTTAAAAATAATTTTTTACGATACAATAGCGACGATTATTATTTAAAAAAAATTTTTTTAGGCTTAACATCGATGAAAATT